TGATGTATTTCATACACCAGTTCCTTAATTCCCCTTTCCAGATCATTGAATTCCTCCCAATAATTTTGTCATCAACACAAACTCCACCTCCTCTAACAACCATCATGCACAACCTTACAATAGATCTTCTGGCGTTTTGGCAATGGGCATGCTTTGATACCAAATGATGAATATCAAATAACAAAAAGAAAAATAGCGAAAATAATTTATTGACTAAAAATTAATGGAAGCTAACTAGTCTTGCTTCAATGGCTCCACGAACTCAGAGATTTCCTAAGAACAATGTATTAAAAAAAACAATAATCAACTCTAAAAGAAAGCACTACGACAACCCTTATTTGTAGACCTTATTGGACCCCTTATTTGTAGACTCTAATGTAATCAGAACTCCTAAATAAAACTGAACCTAAATTTGGCACTTTGGAGCTTGAGGATAGAAGAAAAAAAAAGACAAAACTCATCTGAAAAATAAACCCTGAGACGATACTCCAACTTCACATACGTAGAACCTTTTCCTCCATTGAGGTGAAAGATAGGGCCTACACCTAGGCCTGCACGACCCTCCCTAGGCATCAGTATGTGGGCACCTGCCCAAGAGGCCTAGGCTAGCGCATAGCGACCAGTCCTGGGCGGGCGTACAGGGCTTGTGCAATGTTTTGAAGAAACTGTCATTTTCCAATGGTCATTATTGTGAAAAACCTGTCAATATTTTGATTGTCACATATATTTCCTTTTTTTAGATATTTTCTCAAACTTCTCCTTTTTCTTTTATTTTTCTTATTTTCTTATTTTTAACGCTAATGCCAAATTCATACCATGTGAAACATAGACAACCAGTTTCAGTTGTTCCCCTATTTCCAATTCTTGAACCTCACTTAAGAGATGCAATATGATGTTTAATTGATCCCATTAACTCAAAAAACTGGCTGATTTCATAATCATACAAATCCTTGATGCAACCCAGAATACTGCTCTTCTAGATAAGAGAGACAAGCTTAAAGTTTAAAAGAGAGACAGTTGAAGGGCAAAATAGTCATTGAATATGTCCTTTTATGTCTTTTATTTTTTCTTGAGTCATTTTATTCAATTAGAGACATAAGTAGTATATAGAGTCTTTTATATCTTTCTATTTCACTTAAAGTCATTTATAATGAATGGTCATGATTAGATTAGATCGACAGCCGGGATTAAGTCTTGTTTTTTTTACATAAGGGATGTACTCAAGCATAATGAAGCATCTTGTTATAGAATTCATTCAAAACCCTAGAGCAATTAGTGCGCTCCTTCTTTTATCTTTGATTTTTGCATCTTCCTCTAATTTTGGATCTTTCCTACCTTCTTTGCTAAATCCTAGCTTCAAGCTGCTAGGTCTGTGCCAGATTGATTGATGCAGCCCAGAATACTGCTCTCGAGTATCTAGATAAGAAAGACAAGCTTAAAGTTTACAAGAGGAACAGCAGAAGAGAAAAATAGAAATTGAATCTGTCCTCTTATGTCTTTATTTATTTCTTGAGTCATTTTGTTCACTTAGGGGCATAAGTAGTAATTTCTTGAGCCTTTTATGTCTCTCTATTCACTTAAAACCTTTTATAATGAAGGGTCAAGATTACATTAGATGGATGGGCCATGATTAAGTCTTGTTTATACAAGGGATGTACTCAAGCATAATGAAGTATCTTGTTATGGCCCTTATTCTAGAGCAACTAGTACTCCTTTTATCTTTGGTTTTTACATCTCTCTCTAATTTTGAATCGTCCATATCTTCTTCTTTGCTAATCCTAGCTTCAAGCTACTAGGTCGGCGCCAACTCCCTTTCGCAAAAAATATCATAATCACTATTAACTAAAAACCTACGTTGTTAGTTTATCGAATAGTTGAGGCTCAAAAATGCTTTCAAGGCCCAAAAATGCATCCAAAGCCCAAAAAGTGGGACTTGAAATTTGTTGCGTGAAGTTGGCCTACAACAAGACCTTTCTTAAATTAGGAAATCCTAAGAGCAATTTCATATCTCGGCTAAGACAAAGCCCCATTACATGACAGCTTCCACTAGCCATTAAAAAAAAATTGTTACACCATGGAACCCAATATAATCGTTTTCTTCAACAAATTCTACCAATGAATCAAGATAAGAGAAATGAATGCCTCATTCATTGCTCTAATTCCCAAGCTCAAGGGTGTTGAGGAGATCAAACACTTCCAGCTAATTATTCTCCCAAAATCATGAAGTGTTTGCCAAAGTCCTGGTCTCTACACTAAGGGAAGTCCTTGACCATTTCATTTCACCCAGCCAAAGTGGCTTTACTAAAGACAAAAAAATTTCTCAACATAGCACTTCTAATACATGATGCCATACTCTCTAGGCATGTTACCGAAACACCTAGACTCATCATCCCAACTAGATTCAGGAACAGCCTATAATCATGTAGACTGGTCTCTGCTAGACGAGGTGTTGATAAGGATAGGCTTTGGGAGTAAAATGGCAAAAATGGTAAGCTTGTATTTCTTTACCTCCTCCATCCTTGTAAAAGATCGCCCATGCGATTTCTTCTAGCCATCTAGGGGAATCAAATAGGGTGATCCACTTATACCCTTTATATTCACAATCATCCCAGAATTTTTCAATTCTCCACATCAAGACTTTACTGAAGAGGACTCCTCACTATTTTCAGATCCTCAAGAAAGGGCCCCAGGATCTGCCACCTCCAATACACAGATGACACCCTCATAGTCATTAATGCCTCAAATGAGGAGACTGATAGATTATGGTTGTTTCTTAGGTCCTTTACATAGCCATCGGGATGAAAATGAACATATCCAACTCCAAACTCATGGGGGTTGCCACCAACCAAGATCCAACATTCCGCCACTAGGCTAGGCCGAGAGAGCAAACAACCACCATTAAAATACCTGGGCACACACCTGTGTATAGGTAAAGCCCCAAAATCCCTTTGGGACCCCATCTTCAAAAATTTCCAAATGAGACTTGCGGTTTCGAAAGGGCGCTTCCTACTTGGGCGAGTGCATCACCCTTATCAAAGCAAACCAAGAAAAGCAAGAGGAATTAGACATTAGAACAATTACTACCCTATTGGGCAAGTGCTTGTGGCACTTTGCAACCCAACCAGACCAACTATGGTGCAGGTCATATTCATCAAACTTGGAGCCTACTCCCTATGCTGGTTCCCAAAGGCAAACCAGCATGCCAATGCGCTCAGGGGCTCGGAGCACTGGAAGAGCATCCTTCAAAGCCAAGAAAAACTCTCCAAAAGTGTAAGATTCAAAGCAAATTGGGGATACTCTCATGGGAACTGTGGATCAGTCACCAACTATCACATGGCATTGGCCATCATCCCTTTACAAAGTAACCATCAACACTGAGGCCATGGTGGCAACTTCATTGAGAAAACCCAAAACAGCATAATTTGGTGCCCAACATTTAGAAGGACTCTGGATGACAGCAAGACCCTAGATCTCCTCAACCTCATGGAATCCTATAGGTGAGGACAAGATTCTATCGACACCGGCTCTCCCTATGGGACCTTCACGGTCTCCTCTTTCTATAGCTGCTTAGAAATCTTCCCGCCTCACAACTTGCACATACAAAAGTGTGGTTGCCCCCCATCCGGACGAAAGTGCAAGCTTTCAATTAGCTGGTAGTATCTAACAAAACCCCAGCCATGGACCAACTTCAAAGAAGGGGCTTCTCCATACCGAAAAGATGCATCCAATGCAAGGCAGCTGAGGAAACCCATAGCCACCTCTTCATCCATTATGAAGTATTCATCCATTATGAAGTAGTCTATGGGCACAGCTACTACAAATTTTCAAATGGATATGGATTACACCCAACTCATTATCCCAACTACTCTCTGTATACCACCCTACCCCTCAGCAGCCTGCTTCCTTTAGAGGCCCCAATTCTGGCCACCATTTGGAGCATATGCGGTAAGGCAAATCGACATATCTTGAAAGAAAGAAGAGGTCTTCATTGGCCATCACACATCACATCAGGGAAACCACAACCTTTGGTTCCAAGAACAACAAAATGCTAGCCTCTTCCTCAAGCGCGGCGCATGAGAGTAACTGGCCAAACATCCCAACCCTCAAACCAAAGAAACCATCAAGATCCACCCTTTTCTGAACCCTGCAACCTTGCACCATTAAGCTAAATGCAGACGTCTGCTCTTTGGGAAATCCACGACCTAGCGGTTTCATAAGCATTTCCAGGGTAACAAGATTCTGTCATTTTCAAGTTACATCAGAGCTGCCAACTTGACAACAGCCGAATTGATTGCCATCCAAGAGGGTTTAAAAAGATTTAACCCCTAGGGAAATATTTTGCCCATAGAAGAGTATTTCAAGCGTGGCATCTCTGCACACACCAGGCAGCTACCCATTCTTGGAGACTGAATCACATTTTTCACCATATTTTCAACCTTTGCAAGATGATCTAGACCTCCCTCCACCATATTCACCAGGAGCCCAGCTCAATGGCTAACTCACTTGCCAGAATTAGAGTAGCAGAAGGGACTGCGAATGATGAGCAGCACCATGATGGCCGCATCACCACTAACCATTTTTACACATTCTCCAGCCCCTACTGTTTTTGTACAAAGTAATCATAACACTGGTGTTGTCCATATACTATACACAGGGTTCCCTCTCCTTTTGTTAGTGGGACCTACTAACCCAACATTTTTTGGATGTAGCAAGCACACATACATAAAGCATCTGATTTGTGGATGCCATAACCTAACTTATCACTCATGGACCTGTTTTATAACTACCACTATATACTATAATACAAGTCAACTTCTTCAAAAGAAAAAGTACTCTCGTCAGGAGGGCTTGCGGTGTCCACATTTCACAGTCCACATTGCAAATGAAGGCACCACATTTATGTAAGGATAATCCTATTTGTAAGCAAAATCACAATCAAATCAAGTGGGAATACTTTTCAGAATCTAACTCTTGATTCTGTTGACGGGGGAGAAAGATACCTTGAGAAGTGCTTGCCTTCATTTTGTCAAGTGCATTATCTACCATTTCACTATCATAGGGCCCGTCTGTGTAAGTGATCTGATTGACTCCTGAAACATCAGTTTCAGAAGCTCCCATAGAATCAGCTCCATGCCTTGATGGCATAAAGAACCCCTGAATGGCATGAAGTGGTCTTAGCTGAGAATATAATTGAAACTTCAAACCTGCAGAGAACCCATGAACCACATTCCCCATTAATGCCTAAACGGACATATCAAGTAAGTAGTGCTACATGATAAGGCACATAAAGGGAAAAAAAAAGTATATAAATTAAGAAATGTAGCCGAAAATTCAAAAAAAAAAAAGGGGTTTCCCTGATATTGTTCCAATACCAAAAAAATGGAAACCAAACAAAGGAGAAACTTAGGCCATTGCATATTATCTCAAGAAGACATTGTTATGCCTGGTTGGAAATTTGGAATCCTCAAATTTGAAATAGGATTTTGAGAGATCACTGAAATATTAATAATATATTATGGATCTCAACAGGGAAGGGCAGCACATAGCCCCCAATCATATTTGGTAGCATCAAAATATAATGGACAGTGTAGGGCTGTGAAATGTGGTTGTTTAAATGGAGTGTTGAAACAATGATTGCTAACTAATCCAAATTGCCAATAAAGCTTGCATTCATGATGACAACCTCCCCCACTTAAATCTGTATACCAGCTGTTAAAAATAGAACCATATGGGAGGTACATTCAATGCAACACAAAACTCATGGAGAACTGTTCTCCTTTTTCTTTTTCTTTTCTTTTTTTAAAATAAACAGCTATCTCAAATTGCATAAGACAGGAATCTCAAAGGACAACCTGAGAAAAGAGATAAATGAGAAGAACAAAAAGAAGAAAGATCATCCCTCTCTCTGCTGAAAACATCCTCCAGAGTATTGGAGTTACCATGGGTACTCCTCTTCTATTATTTTTTCTTTTTTTAAGTTCAAGGTAACCCCTAGAGAGCAAAATTCTAATAACATTGAGAAAATCACCTTCTCAATTAAATGAAAAATCTTAAGACACCAAATCAGATGTGTGTTCATTTTACGATCACAATATGATAAATTAAAAAGTCAATAAATTTTCAATATAAATGACTTATTTATTTGAGTGATTAAGTTTAGAGGATCCTCCTATGAGAGCACAATATACTCCTTTTTTTAAGGGGGGTTGTATTTTACATCCGTTCCGAACTTGAAGTTCTAGATCGATCACACCGTCTGGACCCCCACGTTTCAAACCAACCCTACATTTCTCACGAAGAAAATATAGTTCAGAACTCCAAGTTCTGACTTGCTTCTTTCATGAAAAATGTGGTTCGGAACTTGGAGTTCCTAATGGAGTATGGTGCCAAAAAAAAGAAACAAAAAGAATTGGAATTCGAAGCTCCAAACCAAGGGCATCTTCCAGAAAAATAAGAAAATAAGAAAACCAAAAAAAGGGATATGCATGTCAATTTGAAAAATTGCAGAACATTTTTTAATACCACAGAATTCAAGGGATATTTATATTAATTTCCCTTATCTCTAGTCAAACCGCATATGCTAGACTACCTTATGTTCCCCTCAAAGCAATTGTCGACCTTGAGGTTTAACAGGCCTAAAAGAACTAAGCAGAAAATGCGCTAAAACTAGTCTTAAGAGTAGAGCTATCAGTTGCCAACTTACAATTGAGAACTAGACCATTTGCAAGCAAAGTAGATATACATATTGAAACTAAAGGGCCAAAGAATTATAACATCCACGATGCATTTTCTAAGTCTAAAGGAACTACCAACTCAAATGAACACAGAACACTCTTAAATACTAAGTCATCCATTTCTTTTTATATACCCTAGAAGGCAGTCGGGAGGCCTAAAACAAGTTTAGGAACAAATCCAAAAAAGGCAAGTGTGGTAACAATGCAGAAAAAGGTAGGTCATAGCTTCCTTTACCTCTAGACATGCATAGAAAATATTTGTTTCCTATGGTAAGAATGTGATCCAAGGTGGCCAGAAGTCCATAAAAAATGACAATGTGCTGGAACAACAATGTCAACACTGGATCGGACCGGAAGGTTCAAGCTGGGAACCGGTGAATCAGTGCCTGTTCAACCTAGTCAGGCCCCAGGACTCACTAGTCCATTGAAGCAACCAGGGACAGGTGGTCCTATGTTTTGGTTTTTTAATAAAAAGAAGGTTTCAGAGGGGGTTTTTTGGCCTTTCTTATTTTGTATCAGGAATTTTGGTAAAAAAAGGGGGCTTAGGATTTATTGGGGAATAAAAAGACCTTAGAGAGGAAAAGGATTTGGCAAATTTCTCTCTCAAAAAAAAAACAAAAAAAGCTAAGGACTTAAGGGCAAAATTCAGCCATTTTTCTGATCAAAATCCAGTCAAAAGGAGGAAATCTTCAAACCCTAAGAATGTGTTTTTTTTATTTTCTGCGTTTTGATTTGGATTTAAAATACATAAATAAAAAGTTAACACTCTTCAGTTTTGGATTTAGTGCTTTTAAAAAAAAATTGTCTATGAAAGTTCTATGTTTTCGGTTTGTTTTTTATTTTTGAAGAGCTTTTACAATTCGTAGAAGTCATAAAAATGTAAAACCAACAATGCAAAAAAAAAATATATATATATATATAGATCAAATTTTATTTCATTTTTTTATAAAATTTATTTTAGGGGCTTTTACAATTTGTAAAATCCCATAAAAAATAGAAATGCAAAAAGAAAAAATTGAAACTTTGTTCGAGATTTTTTTTTTTTTTTTGGTACGTTTGATTTTTAATTTGATGGGATTCTAAAATTTGTAAAAGCCCTTCAAACTACAGCTCAAAAGCAAGAAGCAACGGCACTAACGCGCATTTGTTTTCTTGCAAGAAGCAAGGGCACTAACGCTTTCCAGAAGGACCCGATCGGACCCCTATTTTTCTTAATGACTCAAAGCGCTATGGCTTTTGAAATACACACGAAAAATAAACAGAGAGTGAAGGGCTTTCATTTTGTGTTTTATTTCATTTTTTTGCATTTCGGTTTTAAGGGCCTTTACAATTTGTAAAAGCCCTAAAAAACAGAGAATGAAAAAAGAAATTCACTGTTTGTGCATTTTTGTTTTCCATTTTTTGTTTCAAATTTTAAGGGAATTTACTGAAGATGCAAAAAAAAAAAAAAGGAGAACAGAAAATTAATTTTTTATTTTTGTTTTTGGCATTTTTATTTTTAAGTAGTAAAAGCCCTTGAAAAACAAAAAAATGCAGAGAGTGAGAGAGACAGTTTGTTTGTGCTTTTTTTTTTGTATTTTCAGTTTTGAAATTGGAGGGCTTTCACAATTCATAGAAGCCCTTAAAAAGTAAAAATACAAAATACAAAAAGGCAAAAGAAATATCTGAAAGTTCTTATGTGCATTTTCCCCTTTTCCGATTTTTATTTTATTTTCCATAGTTCTTTCAATTTGTTGTATTATTCCACCGGTCAACAGGTGAACCTGTCCTATCTATAGCTGATCTGACCCAACCGGTGACCTCACCGATTCAGTCACAGGCCTGGTCATGACAACAATGGCTGGAACCTATATAATTGATAAGCCAAAGCAATGTCCTCAATCTAGTATGATGGTCACAAAGGATGGGAATCTCTATTTGAATAAAAAACCCAATGTTACAGCTCCCACTAGGAATATCTCCGTCTATGGCCGAAAATCGTCCAGGCTTGGGATGGCCCAACACGGGCCCTAGCCAGGCTAAGGTCGGCCCCATAAGGCAGACAACAGACCCAAGCCCAATCATGGCCGGACGAGCCATTCCAAATACATTACTTAAAAGAAAAGGGAAGAATAAGGGGAAATGGGCCCTCCAACTGTGGTGGCCTTCCTCAAGACATAACTTGCGGCCCAAACCTGATTTTTTCAGGCCGGGCCAAGCCGTGCCCACCAGCCAATTGCCAGCCTAGCTCCCTCATCAAGAAGAGAGTTTAACTAATGATACACACACATGGAGGGGGGGAGAGAGCAAGAGATGTACAAAAATACATCCCTTTCAGTGAAATATGGAGACACACATGGTTATTTTATAAATATATATATATATATATAGGAAAAGTTTTAAAACCCCCTATAGGCTATTTGCTACATTGTTTCGCCCCTGTCACGAACATGCTAAGTCAGTGACGGTTTTGCCTAAAAACCGCAACAAGCCTAAGAGAGCTGTGGCGGTCCTTGTACATTTTTTGCGTGAATTTTGCATGAAAAAAATCCCGTCCGTCACGGTCTTTAATCCACACCATTCCAAAAAATCGGATGGCGCCGAGCCTATGGGCGAAAATACTGTTCATTTTCACCCATAGGCGTTTTGTAGTATCTTCCTATATATATACAACAAGTAATAGCGTACCATACCTGGCAGTAGTGGAGGTTTGCCTATTTGGGTATGTTGCCGGAGAGAATGCCGGACTAGGGGCTTGTATTGGACTTTGAGGAGGAGTTTGTATCACATATTCAGGTATGTTCGTGGATCTGAGAGGTGACATAGGTGTCAGAGTCAAAGAGGGATAGCTGGGCATAAGAGGCCCAGGCATATTGCAAGGTACCAAGTCCATGGGTTGTTTTGCTTTAGATTTATTTGGAGGATTAATTGCGACCCGACCAATAGACCAACTCATTAGAAGACAAAACCTTAGCTTTATCTTTATTCGTGATATGACTAAAAGCATATTCCTGCTTTAACTTTATTCGTGATATGACTAAAAGCACATTCCTTTTTTATAACAAGACCCCAACTACAGTAACTCCTTACTCCAACGATCGCCACGTAGCCCCAACTACAGTGTCACACAGTCTGTTTTGATTTGACTAAATATTTGTCACATCAATGCCTTCATCAATCCTTCGTCGACCAATGAGAAGCAACCACGTTCCCGACAAAACCCCGACATCTATGCGTCACGACCACATCCCTTCTCCCTTTGGCATCTTTATATTCCATCACCGACGCGTCCTTCAGCTTTACATCCTATCACCGACGCATCATCCTGCCAACAACATAAGACAGCCTCCTTATCTCTTCATATGAGCAGCCAGCCAATGAGATCGATACCTTCATCACCAAGATATCTCTTCCTCCAGCTATAAATAACCCCTCTTACTTAACGCAACACAGGCTTTCACGAGGAATTCCCGCAGATCAAGAAGCACAGC